TAATTGAAAAGCAGCCTTCCTATTCACACTCCTCCCCAGTACAATACAGGTATTTTATTTCTTCCTGGCACTTTGTACAGGAGATAGCATTGTCCAGTTATGTCATGTATACTAGGACCTATCCTACACTACAACAGGCTCCAGTCATGCTAACCTATTCCTAGAGAAGATTTTGTTTGAAGGTTATTTTCTTAATTTTGTGAAGTCCAACATGGATTTGAAAAAAAAAAAAGCTTCACTTATTTAGCTCTCTTAAGTGATCTCCTTTCTAGAACTTATTTTTTGCAAAATGAAGTTATTTTTCCACCATAACTTCTGCTGAGTTTCCCCAGCACTTTGTTTCTGATGTCATCCCTGAAGCAGAGGAAACTGACTGCACAGCTTGGACTCATCAGGTATCTAAGGAAGCAAATGATCAAACTTGGTTTAAAGATCTAAGGTCTGCTACTCCAGGTTTACTTTTACCATTCATTTTGAATCTTAGAAATAGGCATTTAGTTTTCAGACCACCTTCATAGGAGTCTTTTACTATCAATAAAAGCAGCACCAGATGCAATGTTATCTGAAAAAGCCCTGATTAGATCAACTGTGAAAACACAAAAGGTGTTTCACAATTGGCCCCACAAAATACACATTGAAATGCTGAGTACCTGCATTTCTTTTGAATGAAACAGTCATTGAGGTTATAAAGAAAAGAGAAAGTGGAGATTCAGAGAAAAGAAACAAACTAATGGGGATGTGAGGACTGCTATTTATAAGGCTCATCAGTTATGTTAAATACACAATTATTTGAATGTCTTCAAGAATTGCAAATGTCCTCTGACAGTTAGGTTGCCTGCTTGGCTGTTATGCTTGCGTTTTCTTTCTCCCCCATTGATATAACTGGTTACATAGCAGTGTGTGGCTGTAGTACAGTCAAAAGAAGGATGTAAGATCTTGCATTAAGTCTGAAATACCAACTTTAGTGTACCTGGAGCCCGAGGTGCAACACCCATTCTTAATTCTTTCACTAATACACGAGCCATGGGCAACTGCTTGGTTTCTCTTTTTCCCAGATGTTTTATAACTCACAGTGCAGAGCTATAATGATAGCATTAAAAGCCAGAGTCTCTCCTGAAATGGACACTACCCATAAAAGAGTAGGCATTGCATTGATACATACATAAGTCAGAGCAGTTTTCAAAACCCTCTTTAAATGAGGCTTCAAGAGCATGCTTGTGTGTATTTTGTACATACACACAAAGGGTAAGAAACCCAAATATAATCAAATCACTTACAAAAACAAACTCAAGAGAAAAATCACACAATCATATTGTAAACTAAAATGTAGCATAATAGAGGGACTTCAAAAGGGCAGACGTCTAGATATTCTAAAAGCAGCAGCAGCTTTTAAATGTCAGTATTAATTAATGGTATAAAAGTGTTTACAGAATTCTTTAAAGACTTCATAGGTTTAGATTTGAATAAAGCTACAAGACATTTCCTAAACAGCAAGTAAGTCTACTGCTTATAGAAAAGTTTGCAAAATAAAAAGATGCTTAGAAGCTTCTCAACAACGTTGCCATTGAAGTTTCTGTAAAAGTTTCTGAAGGGTTGATTTCTATCCTATTAATATGATCAAATGATGTGAATTTTCCAGGCAACTGCTATCATTTTTCATAAGGGGTTATTCAAATTATTAGTCTAAGAATATATTATTCTTTTGAATGTGAAATTGTCAAAAGATATTGGTGTTAAAGTTAGTTAACAGAAATCCAACATGGCATAAGAGCATATGGCCATTGTACTTGCAGCTTATCTTTAAAAGTGTGTGGAAAGGTAATGTAGCAACCCTATCTTATTCAGTAAGTTGTCCAGTATTTTTATTGAGAAACTTCTCAAAAGAAAAAAAAATACTATTATACTCACAGCACTACTAAAACATCTGGTCACCTGTTTTTGGTTTTTGAAAACTCCTAGCAACCGAGATATCTGTAAAAACAAAAATATTTTAGTGTGTGAACAGAAAGTAAGACAATATTAATTTATAACACTGCAGCAGGTTTGCATTTTATAGTACACTTATTTCAGTTCACATTTTATACTAGGAATATATTTGCCAACATTAGTTGTCATACTTTTAGGATGTAAATATTTTCGTCAGATGACCAAAACTTTCAGTCTGAAAACATTTTCATTATTTTCTCTTGTATTTTCAAGTTTTAAATGTACACTCTGCTACCAACAAATATTTCTTCCATTCTTTATGAATTTTGACAATGAGCTTGTACTATATTGACCGAATGTTAGGAAAAAGAGTAAATTCCACCACAAACACTATGTGGATTTCAAAATTTAAAATAAGAGAACCTTAGAGCCTCCATTAAATATTTGTCCTTGTGTCCAATAAATTGTGAGAAAGAAAGGTTTTATTATAGGAACAAAAATTTGTAGAGTCACAGTCCATGAAAGCCATGGAAATGAAGGGAACACACTCAGAAATATTACACATTGGACCCAAAGATGCAATAATTTTAGTTATATGAATAAGGATTGACTAATGTTTGTATATGTATATGATTAGAAATGATGTATTCTCATCTAGGATATTGTAATGAATGCTGTAGAAAAGGTAATTACAGCTAAGATTCATTCTGACCTGTAACTGAACATGAAACATACAATGTAATACAGCAAGTGCTGCATATCATAACAAGCTGCGCACTTGAGAGAGAAGCAGGAACAATAGAAAAGGTGAACAGGCTTAGATACATAAACACCTGGGTGTCTTCATGGCATAGCTCTTGCCTGTGATACCAAAGGATAACTCTGGAGACAAGTGAAAATTATAGACGGGACTGTATTATAGACAGATAATGTAGTATAGTGGTTGGAGCAGGGGACTGGAAATCAGACCTGTTTACTAGAAGTTATGAGCTTGATAGAGGATTCACATAGTGAAATTGTATAGCCTGTGTTATGTAGGGCCTTTGACTAGATGATCAGATTGCGCTGTTATGGCCTTAATTATGTTTCAATGAACTAGAACTGTTTTTGTCCAAATTAGTAAAAATTTAACACGACACAAAGAGGCTGAATTTTTCAATGATTCGGCCTATGTTATGTTGAATGCAGGTATGATAGTAAAAGTTTATTGTTTGCTGGAAAATACTAAAAAGTATTGTTCACTATGTTGAGGACAGTAAGTGGATGCTATTAAATATAGGCAGGGCATCTTTCAAGCAGATCAGAGGAATTTTATTCTTGTTTATACAACCAATTGACCGTGTCTGTGGAATAGCTTCCAGAATAACTAAAATTTTCAAAAAACAAAGTGTTGGTGGACACAAGTGCAGAGGACTGCAAGTTAGAATATAAATACAAAGTATTAACAAGCTTGTTTTTTCCAGACTCCAGAATGAAAGAGATAACATTAGTTCATTGTGAAAGTGGTCCTATCACTAGAATCCATTTTTAGTTTAACTCTAAAACGTTAAATAAAAGGAGTATATGGGAGCAAGTTGTTAGTAGCCTATTCAAAAACACAAGTAGCAATAAATACCTTCAAAATGCACATAATTAACTTTTCCTGAAGTTCAGTAATCTCCTGTTTTACTGCTAAAATATGAGGCACAGCAGAGTAAGATGAACTCTATTTGCATTGCTACTAGTTTGAAGAATAAGGATTTTACTGCTCTGTTACCTGCAAACAC